GGACAGTGTTTCTTGTTGCATTCTAATGTTCAAGGATATGATACAGAGTAGTAACTTAACATTCTGAGATCACGGCAGATTACCAAAGCCATAGTTAAGGTGTTTTTTATGGGTTTCTTTCTTTCTCCCAAGTCATAGTTCAGCTGAGAGTTGGATGTTTCCTTTTTCCTATCTTTTTTTAAATGACTTTTAAATTTCATAATGTTTTCTCTTATTTAAGGACTTTGTTAATAAAGATCTTTGTTAAAGTTCATCAATTCAAGGAAAACTACAAAGAGAGAGTGCCAAAACTGTTTAGAGACTGTCAGGTACTAGGTGCTTGGCAAACTCCCAAGCAAAGTGGTTTGATTAACAGTGATTTGCAGCAAAGGAGACTCAGTCCACTCAGTTTCCAGTCATAAAGCACCCATTTGTGGGGTATAGTCACCCTGATGTGAGTTGCACCTCAATAGTTGAAGTCATATATATGGCTTTGGAGAAATGAATTTGTATCACTTCTCCCCAGTAACTTGTCCTAGTAGTATTTAATAATGATTGATAAGTGATATTTGAAAAAATATGTCTTGTGTGATGATACCATTTTCATTGAAATGTGTGCACTGATATCAATATTTGGCAAATTCTTGGAATCATTTTTATTGCCAGGAGTTGTTATCAGAAATATATTTTATTGTATATATTATTATTTAGACTACTTATATTTGCCTTCTTGAATTGCAGCCCATGCAATCTTTTCTAGTTCTCTAAGATATAATGAAATATTTTTTATTATGTAACTGTTGGTCTTATGTCAATGTACCCAGACTTCAGGAGTCTTTACAGACAACTTCTTATAACTCTACAATTGTTTGTCTCAATTGAAAATACATTTTTAGGCCGGGCTTGGTGGCTCAGCCTGTAATCCCGTGCCTTTGGGAGGCTGAGGTGAGTGGATTGCCTGAGCCCGCAGGTTCGAGAGCCGCCTGGGCAGGCAAGACCTCTCTACAATAAATCAAAAAATCAGCCGGGCGTGGTAACGCGCGCCTGTAATTCCGGCTACTCGGAAGGCTGAGGCGGAAGGATCGCCGGAGCCCAGCGGGTCGAGGCTGCGGTGGCCGGGAGCGGCCACTGCACTCCATTCTGGGCGACAGAGTGAGACTCCAACTCAAAAAAAAAAAGAAAATACATTTTTAAAAGGATCATGAGACAGCTCATTTCTTGATTTATGCTTTTTTGGGGGACACTTTTTGTTTACTTTCTTATTCATCTCAGTTTTCATGTTAGACCACATAAAATATTCACAGTTCTTAAAAATCCGTGTTTAACATAGTTTACATACTGGTGAGTGAAGGCTAAGTATAGTGTTTTGAACTCTTAGTGCATTAAACTTCTTATTGTTGCAACCTGCTTGCTTGAGCCATATCTATGTATTCCTGCGTCAATAAAAGACAAAGTCCCTGTTGGTGAAAATGAGCAATAAACAAAAATTATTGTTTAATATTTTAATGGTGCTGCATATAATAAAGAAAAAATAGGATGTTGGGTAAAATGAAATGCATTAACCAGGGAGGCCCCAAAAGTCCTCTTGATTTATCAGGGTAACTTTGAAACAGAGACCTAAATGCAGGGAGACACAAGCAGTGGAGATGGCTGGCTGATGAGGGAGGGAGCAGCAAAGTTCAAAGCCCGGGGTGGGGGGGAGCCCTCTTAGCTATTCAGGAAGGTGCGAGGAACCCACTGTGACTAGACCGAGTGAACACAGGGGAGAGGTGTCCAGACCTTAAGAAAGGTTGTGAACAGGAGAAGTGATGTGATTATGGTTGAAGGAAGCACCCTGGCTGCACGTGACCAGTAACGAAAGCATGGAAATCAGTGCCTTTAAACTTTTTGGATGGTGACCACCTTAGCACTAGCAAGAAAGGCGTTTTACATCATCACCCAGTTCCACTTTGTCCTCCTGTCACTCACTTGAATGGTAATGTTTTCTCTCACTTAACAGAGTTTCCTTGTGGTCTACCTAGCAGAGGAGAACGATTGTTCTAACGTGACTATGACAACAGGGTTCTTGCCAGGTTGTTGCCCAAGAAATGCTACCCAAGTGACATGTCATCAACAAAGTGAACTGAGATACCATTTCCAGAAGGCTCAGCACACATGAACCCTATCTCTGAGACTTTAAAATTTTAGAGAAATTTTCATCCCCATGAAAAGCCTGGTTGCGCAGGATCTGCTCAAAGTTAGAAAAGTGCAACGTAAAACTCTGTAAGGGGCCCTCCTCTTCAATCCGTGGTCATTTTGGGGCGGGGGGCAAGGAAAGCATACCTCACCATCTTTCATCCTGACCGACCTCAAATGGAGAACTGACTCCAGGAAAAACGTCTCGTGGTGTGGCAGGCTCTGGAAGCCTCAGCAGGGCTTGGCTCACTGCAGCTCTTCCCGGAGTGGATACTTGGGAAAGGACCGTGTACAAACCAGTTTTCTTCTGTTTCGAGAGCCACTGCGAAGGCATAAAGAGGTTCACAAGAAATCCGAAGATAAAAACATGCCATAAGACCTTCAGTACCCAGAATTCCTTAAGATATTGTTTAGAAGTATTAGTCTAGTAGTAAATTGCAAGGAATGAAAGATGCAGACCTATAATATATGGTCCTTTCAGACAGAGTAAAGATTTGATTCCAAGAATAGATTTGATCTTTTTTTCTTCCATAAATAATGGTGTTTGCAGATGATATAGAAGGATGAGGTGGACATCCAGAGCATAGCAAATGGACAATGTAGCAAAAACTCTTTAGATTCGAGTTTCACTAAGTCGGATTTGCCAACACATATATTTTACCAGTGTTTTGTTTTGAAGAGGGTTATTTTGAAGGTAATTATATTTTTTTCCAGAAGAATTTTGACAATAAAGTTGTTAAATGTGTGCAAATAATAGGTAAAACAAAATATTACTGCAGGTTTTATTTTCCCGTGGCTATTACTGCACAGAATAAATATTTGTAAGAACATTTGTTAGATATTGTATTCTGTTACTCTAATAGGACATAAATTATATGTGGGTATATGTGTATGGATATAGATGTAGATATAGGCATAGATATGGAGATAGTGATGGTCAACACTTAGACCACTGTAATTATTAAATAACAAAACAGTGAATGTTGTTAAACTCTTCTAAATCATTTTCATTTTCAAGTGTAAGAATGCTAGGTCCTCTCCCTCTATTGAAGTAGAGTGATATAGTGCTTTAGACAGGGAAAGCTTCGGGAAACTTAACTTTTTACTAACCAATTAGTGGGGGGAGTTTCATATGTTTCAGGAACTCTCTGTGCCCTTCCTTGCCTCAGACCAGCATACAAAGAGGACAACAACATTCTTGAACACAGCAAAACCACCTAGCGGGACATTCTAAAGTAGTTCAGTCCATGTTATTAAAAGTGAAGCATTAATCTTCCACTAAAGGGGATGAGATTGGTCACTGGGTGATGCTTAGGGATGGGACAAAAATATTCTTTAATCTATTACTTGGTAATAAGTAGCAAACAAAAAGTTTTAAAATTTAATGGTTTGTTTTCCAAATTTATGAAAAATGTATGAATGTCATAGTGGCATTTTGCTAATGTCAAAATGCCTTCATTAGAAGGTCCCTGGTTTCAGAACGCTCCCATATTCAAACATCTTGTGCCTTTTAGCCTCTCTTACTAAAAGTAGGAAATTCAGAAATGCTGCCCCACGCCTTGGAGTTTTTTTACTCTGTATCTACCTTAGAATGGATCCAGAATCCTCATAAACATTTAGTGTAAGCCGCTTGTTCACCTGGGGAGCTCACACTGAGACAAAGGACTAGGGAATGGGAAGATATATGCAAAACTCTTGGCAGATGGAAAAGCAATCTTTTTTTTTTGAGTTGGAGTCTCACTCTGTCGCCCAGACTGGAGTGCAGTGGCCGCTCCCAGCCACCACAGCCTCGACCTGCTGAGCTCTGGCGATCTTTCCACCATAGTCTTCCAAGTAGCTGGAACTACAGACGCCCGGCTGATTTTTTATTTATTTGAGGTCTCGCCAAGTTGCCCAGGCAGGTCTCGAACCCGCGGGCTCAGGCAATCCGCTCACCTCGACCTCCCAAAGCACAGGATTACAGGCTGAGCCACCGAGCCCGGCTTGTAAAAGCAATCTTAATTATACTTGTAATAATTTTTGTTCTTATCTTCAGTCCCTAGCCATATGGACATGAAACTAGTATGACAAAGCATAGATCGAGAATTCAAATACCTAATCCAGTATGAAAATTAATCTAGAAAAAGGAAAAACAATAAATCAACTTCTTATAACCTTTAGGCCATCCTCCCTAAATCCTAATTTTATGCAGTGCAAAATAAGTACCAAATGTGCTTCTTCATACTATCTGTAGCCACAGCTAGCATTTAGGTGAACTGGTAGATATGAAGAAGAATCAAGAGAATTTTCGGGATAACTTTTTTCTGGTAGACAGCTTTGTAATTTCATTCTAAATGACTGATATAAATGTAAGCATAAAATTTATGTAGCCTTTTTATGATTGTTCTGCTAGAACGTATATTTCACTCTTTAATACTGTAATAAACCATGAGAACATAATTAGATTGAATAGCCTTTTCATGTTTTCCATTTCTGTTCAAATAGAACTATTTGCATAATAGTCACTGTAGCAAAACTCAATTTTCACATTTAACCTTTCTATATTTGGCCCTTATTTTTTGCTTCAAAAGTTCAAGGGTGTTTGTGATTGTAAGTCGCTTTCTATTGAAAATAATTATGAGGCCTAAGTGATATTCTGTGTCGTTTTTCTTTCAGCTGATTTTTAAGAATTACTAAAATGAAACACTTTTGAAAAATCTTGGGATATGAGAATTTATAGATCTCTTTATGGAGAAACATTACCAGAGCTGGCTTTAACATGTGAAGCGTGTTGCTGTCCACGTCCACGTGCAGGTCATCTCACCTGGCTTTTTGTTTTTGTTGTTGTTGTTAAATGTTCCATTCAGGTTCTACATGGTCAGCTATTATGAGCGGAATCACAGAATCGCAGTTGGAGCTCGCCATGGTTCAGTGGCCCTGTATGACATCCGGACTGGAAAATGTCAGGTAAATAAATCATTGTGACTTCCTCTCCATAAAGTGTGGAAGTTATTGAAAGGAGAGAGAGGCTAGCACTTCACCAGTTGACATGCTGAGCTGCTGGAACATTATGGATAATGCTAAAGGGATCAATAGTTTAATGAAGGACTCAAAGAATATAGAACCCTACTGTCTTTATTCCCTGGGACTGAAGGGAGGCCGCAGATGAGTTCATAATGGAGCCCAGAGGAAGGTGGCACTGCTCACAGACTGCTTTGCAATACATCTTTCCTGTTTTAAACAAAGTTTTCTGATTCTCTTACTTGTTTTTGCCACGTGTTTGACGGAAAGTTTGATGATGCATTATAATGATGTGATGTTTGAACAAAAATTAATTTTCTAAATGAAATGGGATATTGTAAGACAGTAATGAAATTGTAAGACAGTAATCTAATCAGAGTTCATGAAAAGAAGAATGCACAAGAGCATTTAGTATAGCTTTCTAAAAAGGGAATTGATGCTGTATTTGAAATAATATTACTTTTTATGCTTTTATAGCACTTTGCTTCTTGGTTTTGATCTTGATTTTGATCTCTCAAAGTATACCACTTGGGTAGACAGGGCAAGTCTAGCGCCACTTTAGATATAAAGGAATTGAAGCTCAGAGCTTAGCTTTAAATCACTTTATCCCAGAGTCACATTGTTAATGACAAAACTAGGTTCCCCATGATCACAGTAAATTTATAGTGTTTACTGATAAATAGTTCCAAATCATAACATCTTAGTTTCTTTTCTTTCCCTCCCTCCTTCCTTCCTTCATCTACCAGCTCTAAGAAGTCTTTTTTTTTTTCCGTCTTTATTTCACTTTAAAGACATAAGGTACAAGTCAGGATTAGGTACATAAATGGTCTACATACAGGTGAAATTTGGAGTTGGACCTCCCTCTGACCCTCACTTCCCCTGGTGTAGGATCAGGTACCCTTAGTGATGCTACCGGCCCACCCCCCACCCCCCACAGTGCTCTGCTGCTGCCAATCCCTCTCCTGTAGTATTGTGGTTAATGTTCAAAATCCACTTATGAGTGAGGACATGTGGTATTTCGTTCTTTGTTTTTGTGATAGATCACCGAGTGTGACAGAGACTCTAAATCCATCCAAGTTGCTGCGAAGTCCATATGTTTTTCCTTCTTTATGACTGTGTAAAATTCCATTGTGTATGTGGACCACATTTTCTTCATCCACTTTCGATGGGCAGGATTGTCGGTTCCATATTTTTGCTGCTGTGAATAGGGCTGCAGTAAACATGCATGTGCAGGTATCTTGTTTGTATAATGATTTTTGTACTTCCGGGTATATTCCTAGAAGGGGGATTGCTGGGTTATATGGAAAGTCAATTTCTAAATCTTTTAAAAATCACCACACTGTTTTCCACAGAGGATGTTCTAGTTTATACGCCCACCAACAGTGTAGAGACGTTCTCTTTTCTCTGCATCCTTATCAGCATCTGTTGTTTTTTTTATTTATTAATGATGGCCATTCGTACTGGAGTTAGGTGGTATCTCAGTGTGGTTTTGATTTGCATTTCTCTGATGATTAGTGAGGCTGAGCATTTTTTCATGTTCTGTTGGCTGTTTGTATGTCTTTTGAGAAGTGTCTATTCATGTCCTTTGACCACTTTTTAATAGGACTGTTTGTTTTTTTTCCTTTATGCTCGTTTAAGTTCCTTGTAGATCCTAGAGGTTAAGCCTTTGTCAGATATACAGTTAGCAAATATTTTTTCCCATTCCATGGGTTGTTTCCCTGCTCTCTTGATGGTTTCTTTTGCTTTACAAAAGCTTTTCAGTTTGATGAGGTCCCACTTGTCGGTCTTATCTTTTATGGCATATGTTTTTGGGGTTATGATCAAGAATTGGTTGTCTATTTCAGTGTGCATAAGGGTATCTCCTGCATTTTCTAAGATTCTTATGGTTTGGGGATTTACGTTTAGGCCTTTGATCCATTGTAGCATTTATTAATGAAGATATTTCAGCCTTATTATCATATTAGGAATTTCCCGAAGGATATGAAGAAATTCATAAGGATATGGCTAAAATTTTACACTGCCTCTTAACTTTAACAAGCTATTAATTAATTCTCTAAAAGCTTGCCAAGCTTTTCCCATGAAATAGTTCTAAGAGGTGATAACAGGTGTTGGGGTTAAAGTTCCAGAGATCAGACAACTTTAGGGGACACTTGGTTTTTTTGTCCAGCTTTCCAAATGGATGTGTATGCTTGTATGCTTTGTGTGTGTGTGTGTGTGTGTGTGTGTGTGTGTGTTTTATAGAGATGTGGGGTTCCGGTGAGTGTTAACTATCTAGGCAGGCTGCATGCAGGTGAAGTCTGGGCTTCCAACTGGCCCTCGTTCTCCTGGTAGTGGACGTGGTACCCTTTGTGTTGTCACATGCCCGTCCACCCTTCCCCTTCCCTCCCTCCCTCCCCTATCAGTGCCCAAAGCACATTTCTTTTATGCAGGCCTTCTCAGTGTCTCCAATGTATAAGCGTATATTGTGCATTTCCTGGGAGTACAGAGAGTGTACGTTATTTGCTGTATTTATTTAACTGTTGAATTTTGTCTGTGTGTGCGATTTTTTTTTAAGACATCAACGCCCCAATTCTTCTACTCTGGGCTGTCATTGAGAGCAATGAAACCACTCTGAATAGTTGTTTAAAAACTAACTTACATATTGTTTATAATAGCTCTCATTAGAGAGACAGATTCTTCAAATAGCATTTTCAGATTCTCTTTTGTTAAGACAGTTTTTAAAAATTGGATTATATTGTTGCTACCAGACTTGAGCAAAATAAAGCCCGAACATCTGCAAGGAAAAGAATGAGACCACCTTGTAAGCTTCTTTAAAAATGAAGTGGGGAAATCACAGCAAGGACTCTGTTCTCAAACACGCTGAGACAACTCCAGGATGAGTGAGGACAGGACAGCAGTGAAGATTCATGAGAGCACCGCGATGTCCTGAGGGGCTCTTTTCTTTCTTTTCTTTCTTTTTCTTTTTCTTTTTCTTTTTCTTTTTCTTTTCTTTTCTTTTCTTTTCTCTTTTCTTTTCTTTTCTTTTCTTTTCTTTTCTTTTCTTTTCTTTTCTCTTCTCTTCTTTTCTTAGTTGGAGTCTCACTCTGTCACCCAGACTGGAATACAGTGGCTGCTCCCAGCCACCACAGCCTCGACCTGCTGGGCTCCGGCGATCCTTCCGCCTCAGCCTTTCAAGTAGCTGGAATTACAGGCGGACGCTACCACGCCCGGCTCATTTTTGATTTATTGTAGAGATGAGGTCTCGCCAAGCTGCCCAGGCAGGTCTCGAACCCATGGGCCCAGGCAATCGACTCACCTCGGCCTCCCAAAGCACTGGGATGACAGGCTGAGCCACCGAGCCCAGCTTGGGCACATTTCTTTTCATCTTTCTTCCTAAAAAGTGGTCTCAGTCAAGATCTTGGTAACATGTAAATAATAATAATAACATTTTGAATATCTTGTTCTTTTTTTTTTTTTGAGTTGGAGTCTCACTCCGTTGCCCAGGCCGGAGTGCAGTGGCACACTCACGGCCACCCCAGCGTCAACCTGCTGGGCTCTGGTGATCCTTCCACCTCAGCCTTCCAAGTAGCCAGAACTACAGGCGTGCTACTATGCCTGGCTAAATTTTTTGATTTATTGTGGAGACGCGGTCTCGCCAAGTTGCCCGGGTGGGTCTCACACCCGTGGGCTCAGGCAATCCACTGGCCTCAACCTTCCAAAGTGCTGGGATTACAGGCTGAGCCACTGAGCCCAGCTGAGTATCTTATTCTTTTCCATTAAATTACTTGATACATCTATCAAAGACTTAACAGGAATATATAATGCCATTCATATACCATTTTATTTTCTTTACATTATTTTAGTACATTTAGACACTTTAGTGTCCCTGTAATTTTTTTCTACCTCATTTTCTTGATTTTGATACCCATATCATTAACGTCATTTGGTTGAATGAACTTTACCTTCCGGTTCTGTATGAACAGGAAGGTTACCCTTTCCTTTCATCATTCAGAACAAGAAAACAAAGCTCAATCTCCAAAATCAATGTTTACTTTTGCCATTCACTAGTTATACGCAATGGCAATGAACTCTTAAGCGAGTCTCTTAATTCTTTAGCTTTATAAGCATTTCAAATAAAGGAGTCAACAGCTGAAACAGAACATACAAGTTTAGGCTACATGTTTAGAAATGATCTTTTATAGTATAAGGTGAATCAAAGGATCATTTTGAACTGAGAATGCAGTAAAACATCTCTTTAAAGAATCTGTTGGTGGCCAGACTCAGTGACGTAGCCTGTAATCCCAGCACTTTGGGAAGTCGAGGCAAGTGGTTTGCTGGAGCCTGCAGGTTCAAGACCCACCCAGGTAATGTGGCAAGACCTTCTCTACAATTAATGAAAAATAAGTTGAGCATGGTAGCATGTGGCTGTCGTTCCGGCTACTTGGAAGGCTGAGGTGGAGGGATCGCTGGAGCCCAGCAGGTCGAGGCTGCGG